ATATTTAAAAAAAAAAAAAAAAAAAATAAAAAGTCTATTGGAATAACAGTGAAAATATTTTAAACTTGTATTTAAAATTTTAAAATTTAAAATTGTAGTTAAAAATTCAAAAACCTAAGCATCTTTTAAAAATTGTAGTTAAATAAAATGTATGCTAACTTGAAACACCTCTATAATAAATGTACTACAGGCACTTAAAATGAATCCAATAAAACACCTACTGAAAAATGAAATTATAACAAAAGCTAGATGATGTAGGGTTGTGTATACTATGTTCTTTGTTGCATACATATGAAACTTTAGTACTTAGGTTATATAAATTTAAAATAAATAAATAAATTAATTAATAAATAAAGTTTACTAAATCTGAGAAATGACTTAGCTAGTTTTGTAGTAAGTGCCATAAATATATCACTTAAATAATATTTAATTATAAAAGTTTAAAAAATCGTAATTTACATATACTTTGATATGGAAAAAATAATTTTACTTACTATGAGTAATTTTCCTTCTGTTATAAAGTAATATAGTCTATTAAAACTAACAATGAAAATATTTTAAAATTTTAAAATTTTAAAGTAATTTTAAAATTGTAATTAAAATTGTAGTTAAATAAAATGAATTCTAACCTAAACTTCTTTTAATTAGTACTACACGCACTTAAAAAGAATCCAATAAAAACACCTATAGTAAAATAAAATAAAAATAAAATTAATATGAAATGCCATAAGATGTAAGCTTTTGAATAACCCATGTCCTTTGTACTTACATGAGAAACAATATATTACTAGGTTTATATATAAAATAAAAGTTTACTAAATCAGTGAAATTAAGTAACCATTTTTGCCGTCATAGTCATAAAATTTTAATAAAAAAAAAAAAAAAAATGTAACCTCATATACATACTTAAACTTGATGTTAAAATAATCCTACATAATATAATGGATTCTAATACATTTAACTGTTCTTAAAAAGAATATAGTATAATAAAAATTAAAAATGAGAATATTTCAAATCATAGTTAAATAAAAAGTATTATGATCTGAACACCCCGAAAATCTTTAAATTTATAAATGGAAAAAAAAAATGCCGTAAAATTTTTTTTACCGTTAACAATAATTTTTTTTTTTCTCTCCAGACGACATGCATTCAACGGATGTCAGTTTTTCATTGAAAAATACATCCCTACCCCTTACCAAATTGTAGCTAATAACCGATACAATGATACTGACATAAGGAAAACCTAGACATCCCTTGTCCAATTGAAGTAGAATATTCTGTAACCATGGAAACGTGATTTTATCTGTGTCTTTAAAACCCAGTAATTTTTTAAGAGTTACTCCAAAATTCGCTTGAGGATGAAATGGAACTAATGCTTTTAATTTAATTGCAAAATTAAATTCGGGGCTTTTAGCTTCTATTTTTGAAACATGGTTAGAACTGTGTAGCGGAAAAAAACATATTTTAAATCAATTAATTTAAAATATTAATGCTCTGTAAATTTACATTGAGCACTATTTTGTAAAAATAAAAATATCTATAAGAACACCGGATTATATATCTTACTGTTCTTTCTTTCTTTTTATTTATATATATATATATATATATATATATATATATTTACATATTTTTATCACTTTAAAAATTATTTTTAGTGGAAACTCATATTTGAGTAGACACTCGATTTTTTTTTATTAAACTGCATATTTATTTGGGTCTACCAGCCTGAATATTCAAGAAATCATATTAAGAAAAATATATGCTCTCCAGCATATAATGTTTAAAGTGATAAAAATCTGTTGGATTAATAAAAAATCCATTACTGCTTCAGAAATTTATATATATATATATATATATAGAGAGAGAGAGAGATAGATAACAGTGTACATCCTCATATAATTTTTAGGTGATTGTAATACTTTTAACAGGGTACACAGCACAGATACTACACTTTCATCCAAGGTAGAATGCCCAGATACTATAAACCAGGGATGGCTATCCTGTGGCCTGCAGGCTGTACTGCAGCCCACTTAATATTTCCATGCATCCAACTGCACACTAAAATCTTTAGGTATATTTTCATTTACTATATTAATGTATAAAATTATTCTCGGATTGTGCTAACAGGTTCACTGCCCCATTGCACTAAAAGGGAAAGGGAGCAAAGGCCTTTGCCAAGACACACCAGCTAGTGTGTGGGGCAAGAGCCAAAGCTAGATTAAAATTATTTAGCTTACGTTTTTTTTGGCTCTGGGGCATGGTTAGTTTTCAGGTTGCCTTATTGTATAGAGACAAGACAACAAGTGAAGCTATGCACATGTTTATTCCATGATAGTTATCAATAGAAGAGAGTTAGTTATTATTAGCAACTAAAGGAGTTAATTGCTCCTACGTCCAGAGAGTTGTATTAAGGGAGATTACTAGGTAATAAAATATCTCCCTTTCTTTATTCAATATTAGTTGGTTATGTATATTGAGATCAATAACCTTCACTGGCATTCTGGGTCTACAGGAGACTCTTGATAAGCTATCTGCAATGGGGACTGTTTATCCTGGGCAATACTTTATCAGGAAATCTTACCCTTCCACTTTTAGTAGCATTCTTGCTAGTTTTGGTGGTACTTGTGCTAAGTTCTTCAATGCTTTTGACTCTAGTGATTTGTGGTCAGTATGTACCATCACCCTGTGCCCCCATATATATATACATAGTGATGGAATCTTTCTAATTCAAACACAACTCACATGTCTCTCTTGATGTTGGATTATTGATTTCTGGTCCTGTTAGTGAATGCTACAGTTATTTGGTCCTATAGCAGTGCTGCTCCCATCCCCGTGGTTGAGGTGTTGGCCTGCAGTGTTATGGGAGTCTTTGGATTGAAGTAGCTTAACATTGTGATTTTGCTAATCTCCTTTTTGATGTTCTAAAAAGTTTCTTCCTGTTGAGGAGTCCAAGTGAACTCGTCTTTTGACATCAGATCGTGTAGTAGTTTAGTGAGCCTTACTAGGTGTGAGAAAAATTTGTTGAGGTAGTTTACTAACCCCAGAAAACTTGCAGACAGTTTCTTATCTTCAGGAGGATTCATGTGTGCAATTGTCTCGGCCTTCTGACAATGATGACAGACTCAATGAACTCCTCAAAAGAGCTAAGGAAAAGAACTGCAAGAAGTTTAACCCAGATAAACAGAAGGTACAGGCATCTGAAATACATTTCTTTGGGTACATATCAAAAGATGGTATAAAACCAGATCCCAAGAAGCTAGATCAACAGTCAATCATCCTCAAATCTATACACAATGGTATCATCTGATATTGATAGAACATTCTTGATGTTGCCAAAATTCTCAAACATTGCTCTCTGGAACTCATCTTGGGTGCATTTCACTCCCATTGGAAATCTGTTGAAGAAAAATTGTTCAAATGGCATGATAAAAATCTTCAGTTCCTTTGACTGTTGATCTAGCTTAATCTACCAATATCCGGATTTCACATTGACAGTTGTAAACTACTTAGCCCCATATAGTCTGGAGACTACATCCTAAAATGTGAGTGTTACAAAATGGGGTCTTTGTATGGCTTTATTAAAGTCTTTCAGGTTTAGGCATAACCTAACTGATCCATTCACCCTGAAGATACATACAAATGAGTTTACCCATGAAGTGGGGTTTGTGATGGGCAATATGATGCCCTACATCTCAATGAAGTCCAATTCAGCTTTGAATTTGTCTCTCAGTGATACTTGGACTCTTTGTGGTGGGTGGACAACTGGTAGTACTTTAGGGTCTGTATTTATTATATATTCCCTGGTAGGCATTATATTTTATCAAATACATCAAGGAATTCTTTTAGGACCTCTTCCCATGTTTTGTGATTTCATTTGAGTAGTTGTTCTGCTACTTTTTTTATTGTTTGGTCTTTTCCAATCTTTCAAGGATTTCACTATGTTAGGGTTGTCATTTTTTACTACTAGGCTGAATGTCTAGTTTTTTTCTGTAGTTTTCTGAATACCTCACGTGGTAAGTTGTTCATGGCTCCAGTATCAATTTTGGCATTTACCTCCACCTGTTTTGTTTCCCACTCTCAGTTTTATGTATGCCTCTTTTGCATTATTAGATAGCTCTCCTCTGTCTGTGTTTTTGTATCCACCATGTGGATATACATGTCATCGGTGTATCCATCATCTCTGCTGCTCTGTTGTGTCACTGTATGTACATTCTCGTGCCTCTTGTCTTTCTTTTGGTATCAGGTAACTTGAAATCATGCACGTGTAAAGTGGCCAATTTTCTTGCACTTCATACACATTTTTCCCTTTGCTGAGTATTATCCAGCCTTGTGTATCTGCATTTTTCTCATATTTTTGTTTTTAATCGAGTGCATGGTTGTTGTTTCTGTCAGAGCATGAATAGCTTCCAGTTGTCTGGTCATAACTTTGCCCATTTCCACTACTTTTAGAGCTGATGCAATTATTAAATTCCTTCCTTCATTTAGTAGGGCTTTTTACATTGATTTGAGGTTTATTCCGAATATAAAGTGATCCACAAACATGGTCTCAAATTCACAGTCATAATCACATAACTTTATTTGTTGCTGGAACCTTTTTAGGAAGGTGTGCGCCAACTTGCTAGTCTCTTGTCGATATTTCATTAGTTCGTGATGGAAGACTCAAAAGTTCAACTTGGGCTTCATGAAAAATTCAAATTTTTTATATAGCTTTCCACATTTCTCTCTTCATCTTCCTAAAAGACAAATGTCTCACTGATTAACTGGACTCTGTCCTCTGTCCAAATTATTAAGTAGTTAATTTTTACATTGTCACTAGCATCACAGAGTGGCTCATTGAAATATAACATTACATTTCATGCGAATTTATCCATTTTTGAATTTTATTATTTTACTTCCCTAGGTTGGGACTATTGCAGTCAGTACTTAGTGGTGGAGCATGAGAGGTTGCCATGTCAAGATGTGAATGTGAAAAGTTCAACAAGAATTTTGAAAATTCTTACCTTAATGGCAGTAGACACACATGTGCTGTTGTTATGTACTTGCTTAAAGTATGTTCATTTCAGTTTTTCTTTAAAAAAAAAAAAAAAAGAATCCTGTTACGTGGAGTCCATGTTCTGTTTTCCTTTTTTTTAATCTTTTATTTCTGATAATAATGTTAATTTTCAGGTTCGCTTATGGCACAGAGACAAGATGAAGAGCAAAGCTATGCAAGTGTTTATTCCATGACGGTTAACAGTAGAAGAAGGTTAGTTATTATTAGCAACTAAGGGAGTTAATTGCTCCTAATTCCAATTAAGGAAGATTACTAGGTAATATAACAGTGCAGTCTTAGGACTCCTGCTTGAAGCACCCACTTTAAACCAAACTTGTGTTAAATTTGCTGTTAATTGGGCAGCAAATAAATAAAAGGATACACTTTGATGTCGTAATGATGTAATTGCTGACAATTTTGAACTAACAAATGAAAAATTTTGTGGGCATGATTTCTCATTTTGATTGTTTCAGTTTTGTTGTGACCTGTTTAGGGGCCAGAAAGAAAGACACGGAAGACGAAAGTAGATTGAAGAGTATATTGAAGATAAATACAAAACAATAGTGTTAGTAATAAGTAGATTAGCACTGCATCTACTACTCCACTCACTTTACACTCTGCATTTCCGTCCGGCTCTCACAGTTTGTATTTGAGAAGGAATAGTTCATTATACTGTAAGAGGGTTTACCACAACAAGTTTTAAAAATTTCATGGTTTGATGAATAATGATTGTTTTATTTAACATTTTTACAATGTCAAGGGATAGTGACTTTGAATCCATAGAGTGATTCGGAAAAAAGTAGTATCAGTGTCTTTTTATGCCATTACTAATAAAGAATGGGAACTGGCAGATAAAAAAGATTCATTCTCCCCTTTTTAAAAGAGTGACAGGTATTTTTAGTGACTCAAGGTTTGGCCTAATGCCAAGTGAAAGAGGCTAATTTAAATTTATTCTTTATTTCTTTCTAATTTAAGGTAGATAATACACACATAAGTCTATCTATATATTTCTTTTGCTAATGTAATAATTTAATTACTTTCAACACATTCCAATTATATTCATAATAATTTAGTTAACTTTGAATTTATATTTTTAATAACCCAGGATTTGTTCATGGCATCTAATATTAAGAAAAGAAAAATAACAGAAGAAAAGAGAAAATTCATTATTCTATGGACATAAAATATTTCATAATTGAAACATGCAATAATATTAGGTTGTCATACATGAAATGATGCATTTCTGGTTGGTTGTTGATCTGGTCATCTAATGAAGAGACCTAACCGCCTTAGAATATAAAAAAATCTTGACTTATTCCTGACTCTTTTTCTTTCAATATATTGTTACTCATAAGCCCAAAAAAAATGATTACAATGAAACAATGTCAAGTAATCTTACTGTAGAGTACAAACTGTGAAAAATTTTTTTTTTCGATGGATACTCTTTGACATCAGTAAGAGAGTGAGTTAGCGGTTAGATGCAAATGAATCACTAAAACAATACCCAAAACCTCCACTGCACCCTAAAAAGTTAATGGTTACTGTATGGTGGTAACAGCATCTTTGTATTGTGGAGAAATTGAGTATATGCATGAAAAATAGAAAAAGAAATATTGTAGATTTGTGAATAGGGATGGCCAATTTTACTGCACAACAACACACTGTCCAGTCAAACTGGCCAAAAGCTGCATAGCCTGAATTATGAAATTTTGCCTCATCTTCCATATTCACCATATCACCATATTTTGAGCTTCTCATATGCAATAACACATTCTCCAATAAGGTAGAGGTAATCAAATCATTTGAACTATTTATCACATCAAAGGATGAGAATTTTTTTAAAGATGGAAACAAGAATTTAGAAGTATGTTGGAAACAGTCAAAATCAAAAATTAGTTATTTAATATTTCAGAAGCATTTTATTCATTTCCTATAAAGTGTGTCATTTCACCTAATATTATCTGACTCATTTGTCATGATAAAATTGCTGTGTGCAAGGAATATATTAAGCATCACTTTGCTGTCAAGCATGATTTGGAATATAATAAATTAAATGAAGAAAGAAGAAAAATTAAAATAAATGAATTAAAGAAGCAGTTTAGTTCTCAACAAAACATTCTCAAAAAATCTCTTGTTAAAACTAGTGATGGGACAATACCAATATTTTTACTGATTCTGATTCAATTTCTGACACTGTTCTAAATCACTGATTCCAATACAATTCCCAATTCCAATTCTGATATCTACAATGATTAAAATTCATTATTTTCAGGCCCTACAGTTGGCTTGTAAAGCTTAATGAACAAAGTACATTTATTAATAAAACATTTAGTAGAAAAATGAATATAAAAGCTTATGAAATAAAGTTGATATCCTTTTTATTTAAAAAGGTGGGTAAGAGTTTAAACAATAAAGAGAACAATTCTTTTAAGTAAATCACTTAAGTACCAAGCTACTCATATTTAAGTCCTAAGTTCCTTAAATTATAATGTAAGAACATTATCATCTCATTTTTCAGACGATTTCTTTTTGGTAAGTAAATGTTACCTCCAATACTAAATAAGTCTTCACTTTCAACAAAAGAGGGAAGTGCTGATAGATATTTCCTGGCTAAAAGCGCCATGATGGGAAATTCATTTTTATTTGAATTTCACCAATGAAAAACATTATCAATACTTTTTATATATTTTAATGTAATATATTTTGCCATTTCAAGTTTTAATAAATATATTTATTTGCTTGTTTCACTGACTGTTTTATCATGGATTGTTGTACACATTAGCTCCCCTTTTTTCTTCATCACTTTGTTGTTAAAATAAGATTTTTGTCTTCTAAGTAGCTGCTAAATTTAGTAATAAAAGAAGCAATTCATGCTGAAAGTATCAAACAGTCCCTTTTCTTCTCTTTTTAAAAAATGATAAATGACTTTAATGTTTGGTATAATATAAGAGGCAGTTGCTTCTCTATTACTTAATAAATTTGTACAATCAATGAATTGTTTAAGTATTTTTAGTAATTTCTCTAAAATCTTTCATTGGTTGGATTCTAAACAATATGGTTTTGCAGGATCATTGCAATATGAGATAAAAGCATTTTTTGTTCAAATACTCTGTACATCATATAATACTGACTATTCCATCTTGTCTGGGCATCCTGAATTAATTTATGATCTAGTAAATTTTTTTTTTTTTTTTTTTTTAAGCATTGTGCCCCAAGCAAGGCGTGAAGCCACTAGGATGCAGGGGGTTGCGGAAGATTTGGAGCGAGAGCAGATAAGAGTGATAGGAGAAAGGAAGAGGAGAAGGATAGTGGGTAGATCAAGGTAATTGGAGATGTCGATTGACATTACATTTGAATAATTGGAGATTATAGCTTTCAGGGAAACAGTAATTGGGGAGGGTGTTCCACTGGCGAGAGGTGCGAGGTATGAAGCTATTGGAGTAGAAGAGACGGCGAGAGGTGCGAGGTATTTAAATCTTTATGGTATTCCTGGTACTTTGCAAAAGTTACAGGTAAATGATGGAAGTGCCCAACTATTTGTTTACAAATAGAAAGCATCCCCTTCACATACCCTTGTGTAAAGATGGCATCATTAATGGTCAACTACAAGGTGTGTAGAAAACAAGTTAATGACTCATATTGGGCTTGTACAGCTGCTGCATCCATATTAGTCGTATTATCTCTAATAAGAACATGAATTTTACTATGAGAAAAATTAAATTGTTATACAGTCACTGTGATTAATTTACTTATATTTATTGCAGTGTGTGATACTTCTAATGGAGTAATTCTTAGAATTGTGATTTTTTGCTCAAAATTTGCAGTGATCCAATGAGATGTTGCACTTAAAAAGGATAAATTTACTGAACTAGCAGTCCAGCCAACACTAGTTATGGATAAATGAATAGCAGTGTTGATTTCCTCCTGTATCTTATTTCTAACCTTCTTGTATATATATATATCTTGCACAATATTTTCTTTTATATCTGTAGCAGACATAGTGAACCAGAACCAGAGTCGAATGGCAGAAATGGTGACCAAGACTTGCCTTATTCTCAACAAAAGAGAGTCCATCTTTGTCTGGCATGTAGGACTTCAATTTGAGAGAAGACGAGTGCATCGTTCCATCAAAAGAGACCCTTCTTTATTGGGTTATTAACAAATTTACATAATATTAGCATAGTTGGACAGAATCAAGGAGAGACATCCGGGTGTGTTAGTGCTCCATTCTGAAGTGCCTGTATGTCTAGTATGTTTATCATCTGGGCAAGTGATTGGTGACTTGCGATTATAACTAGACCATCGTGGAGATGAGAGGTGTCTTCTGTCGAAGTACATCATACGATATGTGCAGTTGTGGTGGAAGGAATGAACAAACGAATGAATGAACAAATGACGAATGATGAAGCGGATACAGAGAAGAGAACAACGATAAATACTAAGAAACCGGTGTAGAGAGAAGAAACGCCCAATCTGAAATTTCCTCCTAAAACAGAGTTGATAATTTGTTTTGACCACAAGCTATTTCAGGAAAATGAGAAACAATGTTGACTTAAAACTCATCCCAGAGTTTGATGGCTCTACTTCTGTGTTGGAATGGGTGGAAAAAGTCAAACTAATTTGTTGCTTGTCTAGGGTGAAAGCCATCGAGCATGTGATTCTGCTATGACTGACCGGTGGTGCATTCGCTGTGTATCAACAACTTAGTGATAATGAGAAGGAAGATCCAGCTAGAAACAAGGCTGTACTCTATAAGGTATTTGCCATTGACAACTGTATTGCCTATGAACACAGACTCTGCAGCCAGGCAAAACTGTGGACATTTATTTGGTCACAACAATGAAGCTGTTTGGCAGACTACCTAAACGATCATTAGCATATGCATTCTTAGCAGGGCTCCTGAGTGTAAAGCAACTTTTACAAGTAAACTCTTGTGTAGACTTGCTAGTGCTCAACAAATTATTGGACTGGGCCAGAACTATCCTGAAAGATGACTCTGCTTTAGAGGAACCTATCGTCATTGCTGCATAAACAAACCAAAGTAGTGTTAGAGCTTTGCCCGGTTCTGGCTCATGCACTAGAATCATCTGCTATAAATGCAACGATTATGGCCATGTGGCAAGAAATTGCATGGATAGAAAACAAGTACTGCATGTGCGTTGTTATCAATGAAATGAGGCCAGACATATTGCTCGGGATTGCCGGGGACAAGATGGCACCAATCTCTTCCCCAGACAACATACAAATGAGATTCTACCGGTCATCCAAATCTATGTCAATGAGACACCATGCTCAGAACTCTCCTTGATTCCAGATGTTCTTGCACTATAGTAAGTGCAGGAGTTTGCTGTGCTTGGAAGAAAAGAAAAGTCTGAGTGACCACCATAAGTGGTGAAATGTACACTTGTCACAAGATAGGGGTAGTCAGGATCCATGCAAACACTGGAAATTTCACTGAGGTTGAAGCACTGGTGATGTGTGAGAAGCCATTAAACATTGACCTGCTACTGGGTTATGATGCCATCAAAGCCTTAGGTGGTGTTCCCATCATGCAGATTGGAACAGTAAAGTTTCAGAAGTGTGGGCAGTGCTCAAGATTGACCAACCCAAATTCAGTATTGTATTTGACCAGCATCAGAAGATCTGAACTACCTCATGAAAATGAACAGGAGACCGAGAACCAGCCATTCTACAAAACTGCATAGCTGAACACCATGTGCCCAACCAAATAAGACCTGCATACAAAAAGGGGATCCGTACATGGATTAAAGATGACTGGTTGATTCCCTATCCTCATAGAAAATTTGGACCTCCTAAGGCTTGATCCCTTTGATGGCGATTGTGCAACTTAATAAGTCAAAAGTCAGGCCCATAATGAATTTCCAGGAGCTGAACCAATATGCCGATGCATTCATGGCTGATGCTGATGTTTGTGCCAGCAAATTTTGGGAATAACAACAGCATGGATATAATGTCTCCTTGCTGGTTTTGAGAAAGGCCTATTTGCAAGTCTGAGTTTGTGACAGACAGTGATGTTTGCTGGCAGAAGGTACTACCTTGCCAGGCTGGGCTTTGGATTGAACATGGCACCGCAGATAATGAAGGCAATTATCAGTGTTGTGTTGTCTCAAGAAGAGACAGTAAAAGAAGGTATGTCAGCATACATCAATGACATTTATGTAAACAAAGACATTGTGTCATCACAGCAGGTAAGAGCTAAATTGGCCCAGTTTGGCTTAATCTGCAAGGACCTGGAATGGCTGGAAGATGGCATCTGTGTGTTGGGCTTGGATGTTTGAGGTAAGCAAGGAAACTTGCAATAGAGAGACAGAAACTGAAGTTCCAACAGTACCTAATGTCCTAACAAGATGAGCAATTTTTCCTTATGTAGAAGGCTTCTGGAGTAACTACTAGTGTGCAAATGACTCCCTAAGGCGCAGAGCAAGCACAGTCACCAAGGGTTGGAACAATGAGACAACTGACCCTCTACTTATTTGCATGGTGATGGAGATCATAGCAAGAACGACCTTGCCAGCGGAGATTGGTGTGTACATTGAGAAGAAATGAACATGTGGGTCAATACAAGTTCACTGGCAATTGGAGTCTTGTTGGAGAAGGATGGAACGGCAATTGAGGACGTATGCTGCTTGTGACCAATAAACAATGCTGCATATATTAACTTGGCAAAGCTGGACGCTGTACTGAAGGGCATCAACTTAGCACTCCAGTGGTGGGTTAAAAAGTTGCATATACAGACTGACTCCTTATGCGTATAGCATTGAGTGTCAGATACCTTGACAGGTAAAGCCAGAGTGCACACCAAGGCAGTGAGCAAGATGCTGATCAGAAGGAGGTAGAAGACTATCAAGAAACTCATCACTGTATATGATCTGTCTGTAGATGTAACATAAATAACATCAAACTGCAACCTTGCTGACAGATTGACCCGTGTGCCACAAAGATGGTATGATGCCATAAAAAAGAACGCTGAGCCTGTACTACTGGTATGTGCTACTTCTGTGGAGGAGGCAAATGAGATAATGAAAATACACCATTGCAGTGGGCACCCCAGTGTACGAAGGATGTGCTATTTCGTATGGTTGATCAATCCCTCAGTTTTCACGAGTGCCATCTGGTCTGTAGTCAAAGGGTGCCAAACATGCCAGACAATAGATCCCACACCAGTCAAATGGTGAAAAGGGAAGCTGGGAGTAAGCAGCACTTGGAGAAGGCTGCGTATAGATATAACACATTACAGTAGCCAGCATTTCCTCATGCTTATAGATTGCAGACCCACCAGATTCGCAGTCTGGGACCATTGCCGTGTCAGGACTCTTCAAGTCTCATCCACCAGTTAGGAAATCCTCACTGACAATGATACTCCTGCAGTAGACAGTTCGAGCGTTTCCTGGACGAATGTGGGATCCAGCTTCAACCATGATACGTGCATGTACCAAGTGGCAATGGCATAGCAGAAAGGTGTCAATGAAGAATAAAGAGAATTGCTGCCAGAAAGCAGTGTACATTCATGGAAGCGGTATATAGATATAACATGACACCAAAGGATGCCAATGTGATCTACACCTGCCAGGTACGAGTTAAAGGGATTGACAGCATGTATCTGCCTGAAGGAAGAGAAGTGCATGGACCACATAGGATGGGAGACTCCGTCTGGGTGAAGCCTCCCAATAGCCGGTGCACCACCAACTTCAAAAAAGGGCGTGTCACCGATATCATCAGTGAGCATTCTGTATTGGTAGACAGAATCCCATTCTATGTAAGTGATTATCTTCCCTGACCTCAAAACGACACCATTAATGAGTGATGGTGAGAATGAATCATCTGAAAGTGAGTTGCTGATTGAGCCCATTCCACATGAGATCAATGATTCACCAGAAAAATCAAATAATAATGTTGACAACTCTTCTGAGAACTCCTAACAGGAAGAAGTTTAGACAATCCCCCTTTGGAGGAGCACCCAAAACAAAAGACCATATCTGCACTGTTATGCGTTGGATCATGAGTCCAGGGGGGAGTGTAGCAGACATAGTGAACCAGAACCAGAGTCAAAAGGCAGAAATGGTAACTAGGACTTGCCTTATTCTCGACAAAAGAGAGTTCATCTTTGTCAGGCATGTAGGACTTCAATTTGAGAGAAGGCGAGTGCGTCATTCCATTAAAAGAGACCCTACTTTGTTGTCCACAAGAAATTAGCTCATTAGCAAATTTACATAATATTAGTGTAGTTGGACAGAATCAAGGAGAGACATCCAGGTGTGTTGGTGCTCCATTCTGAGGTGCCCATATGTCTAGTATGTTTATTGTCCGGGCAAGTGATTGGTGACTTGCGATTATAACTAGACCATCAAGGAGATGAGAGGCGTCTTCTGTCAGGGTACATCATACAATACGTGCAGTTGTGGTGGAAGGAAGGAACAACAAAGCAGATACAGGGAAGAGAACAATGATTAATACTAAGAAATTGGTGTAGAGAGAAGAAATGCCCAATCTGAAATGTCGATCCAAAACAGTGTCACTAATTTCTTTTGATCACAATATGCTTTTGAGGAGGAATTTTATAATTCAGACTTATATGGTTCAATAGTTTTTAAAACCAAGGTCTTCTACAACAAAAAAATGTTGCAGATCAATTGCAATTATTTCTCCAATACCTTTATGAATTTTTGGGCTTTGCTTTCATTTATATCCCAAGTTTTACTTTGATCAATAACTTCATGTAAAGTTTGTTGTTTAAAAAACTTGATGACAAATGTTTTTTCATTTAATTATAGTTGAGCAGTTGATAGGCAATGTACTTTTCATCTCTTCTTTCCTTTTTTCTTTTCCTTTTGAAGTTCTGTGCCATGCTTTCTATTTAAGTGTTTCAAAATGTTTGTTGTGGTGAAGAAGACAGTGTTTCCTCTTCTAGCTATTTGCATGTCTCACAGTTGACATATTACTTTACTTTGGTTATCATCAGAAATCTTAAAAAAAACCTCCAAACTACACTTTTCTGCTTGGCATTGGATACATTTGCCATAATTGAGGGTTGAAAATAATATGCATCAATTAAAATTTAATTTTTTCACTGTTAGATAAAAATGTATCTAGTTTTCTAATGTGTATAATTTGTAAAGATTCAACTAATAATGGTTTGCTATTAATTGTAAAATAAAAAAGTGTCTATTTTTTGTTCACCTTATATATTTTAACTTTTAACAAGCAAAGGTGCCCTCTAAATATTATGCAATCTCCTTAAAATTTTATATGTGGCATTTTTCAATGAATGAAACAAATTTAGTGGGTGACAATTCAATTTCAGCATGCACTTAAAAAATAAAGAGACTCCCTAATATATATATAATATTACAACAATAATAAGTAGAAAGGTATTATCCTATGTATTGTGGTTTAACTCATGCATATATTTTGATAAAGTACAAGGAGGACCTAATTCTGCAGGGCAGTGAATAAAATAAATGCAAATTTTAAATTTGCTTACAGATGTTTAATAAGAATTAAATATGAATTATCACAGCAACTTAATAAATAAATAATAAAGGGTCTTTAATCTTACCCAAAAAATGTAATCACTAATAAGTTTTACTACCTAAAATAAATTTCTCACAAACTGAAAAAATTTAATAATTTCTAAAAAGAATCAAAAAGTGGTTTCTTTTTGTTAGAGGAAAAAATAGTAAAAGTGCAGCAACACAGTAAAAACATATCCCTTGATTTTTTTTAAAGAGATATAAGCAATTTTAGTAAATTTTACAATAAATTTGTTAAAATATTAAGAAGTTGAAAGCTAAATAATGCTGATATCCAACTCAATCATTTTAAAAAGTATGAGATTCAACTGTTACAAAGCATTAAAATAAAAATAAGATTAAAAATTATTAAAATCTTCATAAGAATGAAAACAACTGTTCTCACTTTCAAGTCACTCCTGGTCATACATATGTCCAATACCCATGGCTGATCAATAAGGTAATCGCTTTGATCCAGGCCTTGCCTTATCCCACGTTGTGATTAGTTTTGATCATAAGGTTGGCCAGGATCAAATCGTCATCAGGTATCTTTGTATTGGGCTGGTCCAAAGGGAATGAAAATGCAAGGAAAAAAATAACTTGGATAAAAAAGATAATATGTTTATATATGTACCTTTGTACAATAGTTGGTTAGTTCGTTTTCAAAATCTAGCAGTTTGCATGCAGACGTTTATCAACCCAACCTGATTCTTAAGTTAGATGTGACACTTTGCTGGCTTGGCAAGTTTGGCACAAGGCTGATGTCGGAGGTTCTCTTCAGGAAGGCAGGCACATGAGGTTGTTCTCATCCAGTGACTGAAACAATCTCTCCATTTCTCACTTCAACTCCTTCGTATTTATTGACATTCACCAAAAACTGGAGTGGGGGCATGATGTGGTTGGGGAATTCTGTATTTTCCTCATCTTTCAACAAAGATCACTTTTTGCTGTTTAGGTTCTGAAAATTAATTACTTCCCAATTTGGGAGATCCACCTTTTCCATGAGTAGCAGTCACAGCATCAATCTTCCCCCACAACATCTTCCTTCTCTTATTAGTATCACCTACTAACACTTCCCAATGGATGTAGGTAGCTCCTCCACCTCCCTCAGTGTCTCATCTGTGTCTGCTACCTTGGCTACTCCTCGACCAATGGCTCTCGACTGCTTAGCGTGGCTTAATCCCAAGATTGTTAGTCAAAAAATTATCATTTCAATTTGTCGCCTACACAGAATTCCTATACGTTGGTCTTTTCATCTTTGTTTAGGTTTAGATACTGACCACATGGCTTGTCACCCTCAACTTGTCAGGACCATTCTGGCAAAACTTTATCTTCGAATTTTGGTTTTAAATCTATTTTTTTTTAAATCTCACTCATTTCTCATACTTATGTTTTGGGTAATCAGTACCTTTAGAGATGATCATCAATTTTCAGAATATCACCAACATGGCCCTTTCATAAAAATATTGCTTCAAGGAACTTTTTCAGTTTCTTGAGAATTAGGCTTTTAAAAAAAAAAAAAAGAATTCTTCATTCTTTCTCGTGGTATATTCATAGTTTTATTCATTAACCCTTTTCTTTTTTACCATTGTTCTTTCAGTGTATCCGTCATTCTATTCATCAGCTTTATTATTTACCAGTGCTAAATTGCATTACACCGTAAATGTGTATTTTTTGCATGGGATCAATTTTTTCAGTTATTTATTAGATTATTAGAAGATGAAATTTTACTAGCTTTATTTTTAAAATAAATCATGTTAAAAGTTGAAAAAACTATAGCTTAATCATACCAGATAAAAATGGGATAAAAATAAACAATACAATTTTTGATGGAAATTAAATTCATATTTTAGGTTTTTTATTACAAACTTTTATGTGAAAAACTTCAAATAAAATAAAGATGAAAATCTGTTTCAAAAGCTATAAAATTTTAAGAAATATATGAATTTTGTAGAAATAAATTCCAGATTCATAAAAAGAATGTTTACTTTTTTTAAATCTCTTTTTTTGTTTGCCTTATGCTACATAAACAAAAATAAATCTTTTCAATAACTGAGACTAAAAAATGATTTTATGGATTAAAACTATTATAAAAACAAATTATGTGAAAATATTTTTAGTGAAAAATTTTTTTACTAAAACTTGGAAAAATATATGAGAAATTTTTGTAATTTAACTGCCTTACCATGTGGACAATTTGTGAAACAAAGTTAATTTTTTATATAAAGAAATCAAATGTGACATTGACAGGAATTCCATACACTCATTTGAACGTATGGAATTCCTGCCAAAAGAAATGTAAAAGCCTACTTGTATGATTTTTTGGATTAAGTGCTGATTAGTACTCATTATATGGAACTTTATTTTTAATTTCTACTTAAGAATTATTAAAAAATTTAATTTTAAAATAAAATTTTATATAAGATTCTAATTTTTTTTTCTAGGTTTTTAAATGCAGACAATGCTTTTTTTCTTTTTTATAAATTAAAAAAACTAATAAAAATCATCTTAAAAGAGAGCCTGGCAGAACAGCAAGGTGAATTCATTTTGTGTTTATATTACATAATTTTGATTATAATTATTAAATTAATAATTTATAATATTAAACGGGTGAATTAACAATGTTTAAAAAGAAATTAAAATAAAATTTTTATTTTAAACTGAAACAGACTTCATGAAAAGTTCGAGAACTGAGTAGAAACTTGCACATTTCATTTTTTTTTTACACAAAATAAATTTTCATTATACTTAGGTGTCATTATGATTTTAGTAGATTTTAGTTTTACTGA